TGTTACACCTAGCAAGTCGAGCTTTTTTCAATTTGTTTCCATAAATTCGTCAAACTTACCGATATTGAAACGTGGATAATAAAATTAACAACAAAAGGACCACTGATTTTAATTAGCCCATCTAATTAACAAGTTCCGCTATTGAAAGCCCTTCATGTCTGGTGGAAATGAAATAAGCAGGATTTGTCCACTTAGATGTATTTGTCTGTGGATCACTAATTCCAGTTTCCTATTAAGTCCCCAGAGCCAGGAAAACTTTTGGCGCTCAGGTATTTTATTAATGTAATTTGACGCCAAACCTTTATAAACAACTCATGTTTTCGGTAAGCTGTATTCATGTCTTCATAGAGAGGATATGCTATAACTTTGCTGGTTATAGTGAATCTAAATACGAAAGGAAAACTTGGAAGCGCATCATTTTTTTGCAAGCAAAATATTCAGCGCTTGTCGCAAAACTGCAATATTGTAAAATTATGTAGACCGTGAACCGGGTGTTTACACACTTAGGTTTGTGGATTTTACTGATTATATATGCAAGCAAATTCAGATGCCTGTACGGCAAATATTAATACAGTGTACAGAGGAAGGGTTCGATTAAACCTTAAGTCTCTTCTGTCCTCTAGCGCAAATTCAGGGATAAAATAGGGCTTTTAATAATTTAAGTAAAAACAAAACGCTTTAACCATCTAAGACATTCATGTAAATATAATGCATGTGGTTTTCTATGTAATGTCCAACGGAAAAAATGTAAAAAAGACAAAATTGAACCCTCAATAATTTATGTTGTTGCGATTAGGGATAAACTACCGTGCTTGAGCTATCATATATAATAATCTTAAGCAAGGGTATATTCTGAAATGAGCCATTTAATATGTTTATCCCTAAGTAAAGAAGAAGCCAGGATTTATTTGTTGGCCATGCTGGATAAAGTGTTGGCTTCAAACGTGTGTAATTTAACAAATTAAACTCATTCTCTTTATCGACTTTCCATTCGTCGCTTGTTTATTCATGAATTTTTCACTAGCATATTAAATAAATAAAAAAACGGTTTTTAGGACATGCAATTCAAAAGGTATGTTTCAAAGGGGAATTAATTATCAGAGGATAATACATTTCAAAGAATATTCGACATGAACCGTCATTAACAATATAGCGCAATATGTTCCGTCATATTTTAATGGATGAAAATTACCAGACATTACCAGGAACATTTGTATATGCACAACCGTGTTTTCTTTTCTTATTCCTATAAACGGAAATGATGAAAGGTATTTTATCAGCGTATGTAATTTTCCTAAATCTATACAGAAAGTAAGTTTCCAAGGCGTTACGGGAATGGAAATATATGATTCCCATTTGTCAAACTGGAATGAAAACTGCTTCGCTAAGAACGGCTTTGCTCTGTCATAATCCAAAGACTAATCATTTATTTTACATATTTTTTTATTGTTTTATGCCATTTTCATCTAAATTGGAAGGTAGAAATTTAATTTCAGTGAATGAAATGACTACGAACATTGTAAATTGGCAATTACCAAAATACCACCATCTGCATCATTTTCAATTATTAGCCTAAAAAAATGGTTGATTGTAACAGTAAAATGTAAAAATCAGTTCGATTTTATGCAATTTTATCGGCTGTATTCATATATTTATTCATTTCCTTTTACAGCTTCTGTTATACTATATCGCGCAATATTTTATAGTTTTTGTAAATAATGTGAAAATATCAAAAAACTCATCTTCTGGTAGTTAAATTTTTTATCGATAATTTAATATAATTCCTATTGAAGATGAGAAACTGTCAGTATTATTATAAATGAAGCGATTTGCAATAAAATTTTATAGCGCGCACATCACTGCATAATGGTTTATCGATACTCAAATTGAGGCTAAAATTCAAATGCCCAATTGATATTAATTTGTAATTAGTATTTGCGACTTATCCTCTGCATTTGTTTGCTTCGTTCTGGTTAGTATTCAACATACCAATTCCTGTTCAATACGTTTCTGAACTATTAAACATCGCACTAAGAAGAGAATATTATAGACAACTTAAGCCTGGTGAAAGTCAATTCATGATAAAATTATGTACTTTTATTTTTGAGTCTGAATAGTTTATTAGTTTTAAATTGAAAGCCACTGGAACCTGGTTAATTTGCTGCCTAACGGTCCCTATTATGTGTCCTAGTTTTAAAATTTACTGTTGTACGAGGCAATTTTCCGAACTTTTACCAGAGAATGAGGAAACGTGTTATAAAACTTCACTTGAAAATACGTTCAAGAATATGTGCATTACAAAATAGTTGTCGCTTAATGAAGATAGTATCTGTTGTGCCAGATACTATCTAACTTCCAATAATTTACAGCTTTTAATACAATGCTATTGTTATTCAAATGAGGAACTAATGGAAGAAGGTTGTTTCTTAAAACGAATCGAATAAACGCTTAATTCGCTGAAACGCATTCCAAAAACGGAAGAATTCCTTATGTTTGCTCTAGCACAAAAGCTAGACAAAAGCAACAAAGGGTTAAGCTAGAAATTATAACGCAAATGGAAAATTTCTCTTTGAGCAATGTTATTAGAATAATAAAAGACAAAGGAGCTGTTGGTTTACTTCTTGCATATAATGCATTTCTGGCAGGGATCTTCTTGTTTCACGTTTATGTATTATTTATATTTGCATAATTGATGCATAATAAACTCTTCATTTATTGTATTATTAGGTTCTTTAACAGGAGTTAAAATTGCGATGTTTAAATAAAATAACTTGACCAGATTCATTCAATAAAAAGTGTTCTAATTAGAGTTTCGTTCCGAAGAAAGTTCCATATTTATTAGCTATTTTAATTCATTTGGCAATCGAATTCGAGCGGCTACCGGCAATGATTTTGCTAATTGATTCGGTTATTAGAACACTTAAAAAACATCGGCAATATTGCTTTAATTATGACCGTTGTAGTTCAGTTTGAGGTAGTAAATTCACTATTTCGTAATTCATCAGTAGCATTTAACATTTGCACTTGCAGTAGACTAGCGTGGAATTTAATAAAAAATTAGCCGGATATTCTTTGGGGAATATTGAAATTTGTTAATCATCTTTGAAAGGAACACCTACTTTAGTGCTGCCAAATTCAGCAAAAGCATATATTGCGCGTCCAGGTCAAACTAGACTATCAAGCGAAAGTAATACCGGTCATAAGGGTAGAAATAATTGGGTGTAGGGATTTCGCCAAAGCTCCATATGTATATTGCGAAAACTCACTAAGACTTAACAACGGTGGGCTTAATAAGAGACAAAACGTAGTATCTAATAATTTGGTTAGTGGCATCTTTTGTCATTCGCTTAATTAAATTTATAATCCTCTTCTGACACCACTTGCCATACAAAGGAAATTTGTAAAACGAATTAAAGGCGCATGAAATCAGAATTCTGAGTAGTGGCATATATAGAACATTCAAGACAAATATTATTTTAGCACTGTTAATTGTTCCATAATTAATTTTAACTGAACCTGAAGTTTAGACTCCTTGGTTGGGAAATAGGGAATACATCAGAATGTTGATGCCATGTAAAGCCTTTTAACTCGTAAACAGGGGTACGAGTATAAATGGAGTTAAATAATCGCCGTGCCCTCTTGATCTCAAGTAAATCGGTTAATCGGTTTCTAAATGGACGTGGCTAAAACAAAAAAGTTCCCTTGGCTTATTCCAAAATCTTCCAATTTTAACGGGTTTGTAAAATAAGCACAAATAATATATCTTTCTATTTCACCTTTGACATGATATAGATTTTGTTAATGTCCCACATAGGGCCATTATCTTTAATTTGGCTTGCCAAGTTTCAAAGGCAGGAAAATCCCATTGCATTTGCAACAATTATTTCGCCAATATCTCGGTTGATAACAACATCAAAGGCTGTTCGAACATTACTCCTTTCATACATGAAACACATATCTCCTTTGATTTAATTCAACTTGAAATTTTCAGTTTGAGGCTTTTTATAGCTATTTGCGGAATAGCTTTCCTCGGAGTTTGAAAACTTTTCATTTTATGAGATAAAATACAATTTCAACTCGTCTGCATAAAAACCGATAGAGTATGTTATCTTGTCATAAACAAAGCGAAACAAAGACAGTGATGGAGAGCATTGCTTTACTATTTGGTTAGTTTCAATGTGCCAAAAACATCCAATGAAAGATTTAGCCAGAAGTCGCAGACATGGATTTTTGTTTTAATCTGTTCGCTGAACATTTCAGGAGATTCGCTGAGAAACGGAAATATAAAAATGTCACTCTTGTAAAGTGAGTTTTTTCGTCCTTTAGTTACTTCTCGGCGTTCTCCAAATATTAAATATTTTCTGGTCTTTTTACAGTAGAAAGTAATGAGTTAATAAAATAAATAATAAATTACACGCAAAAATTGGGACTAGAACGTACTGCAAAAAGTAAAATAAAAGTGAAAAGACAAAATAGGGCCGAATCAGGTTACACCATTCAGCCCTTACCTGCTTGCAACAGTTAGATAATTTATTTCATATAGGCTTGAGGTAAAGTTGAAAAATGTTAAATTTTTTGCATCGAGTTTTTTTAACGTACTGAATTAAAAGTCTGCGATCGAAAGCGTCCCGTTTTTATGTGGCCACAGTAACTTCCAGTTCCAAAAAGTTTCCGGTTCAAATGCAAACTTTTATTCTTATATCCACAAAGTTCGACTAATGTTGTTCAGAATCGGCATGGAGGTGTCTCACCGGATACAAAATCGAACCACGGGGGTAAATTTTCGTCGAAAATCGAGAGGTTTTCATTTAAACTGAAATAACAAACGATTAACAATGTCAACAGATCAAACTCTCTGGGGAAGATCGGTTACGATATACTTGCCAGAAATTTCAATTTTAGCCGTCCAGACGGTTCTGGAAATTGTTTTTAAAGACCGAGCCTTGTCAATGTAAGTGGTTTATGCGGCTTTGTCAGATTAATAAATAATTTTGTTGCAGGGATTCAGATATCTGTTGCAGTGGCCACAAATAACATGTGTTGACGGTAAGCTTAATAATGACAATTTTTAACTTAAAAAATTGTATTTTTTTGAAACCATTCATTACCTTTCAGCAGACCTCATGCGTTATCAATTTCATCCACACCATAAATAAAAGCTGTTTTTGGAAGCTGTATTAAGGGTGAATATATTATATAATAAATTAAAGGCTCGTTCGGTCAACACACATAAAATTAACCGGAGAAAATACATTAATTTTTTTCCAGCGGTAGCAAAGACCCCAACCAGAATCCCCATACATCAAAACTAGAGTTGGGAGTTTCCATATGTTGCGCAAGAGGATTTTTTTTATATTTTTTGTGCGACTTTGTATTTAATGCTTTGTTCGCGATATGAAAAGTCCGGAAGATACATGAGCTTTAGCTTTTATTGAAAGGCACTGAAAAAAGCCACAGAGTTTTATAAGTATCCAGTAATATACGAGATGTTAAAGCTAATTTTTTTAAAGCTGCTACTGAGTAATAGAGCTTACTTTGCAAAACATTTTACGTAAAGTATTTTATTGTAAATCCCTTGACTTCATAACTTGCGAAAATAGCTATAATTTTCAAGAAATATGTCAAACAAATTAATGTTTCAATTCTTCAAAGCAGTGTAAAAACAATTCTGGAAATTGTATGAATTTTGGTTTCCTAGTTGGTTCAAACCCAATGGGAGCGAAAAGAACGTGAATTAAATTTAACTCGGCTTTCTTTTATTATCCGAAAATAAACTTGGCGTTATGAAACTTTCAATCTTTCGCGAAGTTTGACTGAAAAATAATTACAGATTCAAATGCATAATTTCAGCGCTTAATTTGCAAGTGCAGTTTTCATATTGAACTTTACGTTCAGGAGCGTAAAGGTTTCAGAGATGAAACGGAGAAAAGCGATTCACCTAGAGCATATGAGTTGGGTTTACTGCCCAAAGTCGTAACGGTATCTAATAAACTACCACCATAGCATATTTTGCTGTAACTTCTTACTGTTCCCGAAATTGCACAAACCTTTGTAAGGTTGTTTTAGCGGAGCGGTGTAGAATAATATCTGTCTGTCTTAGCGAACCCTCAAGGATAAATAGCTCATTTTGTTATCACTTTAAACAAACTTCACACGGCCATTCTTATTCTAACTGGCTGGATATGTTTATAGTATTTGCACTTAAAGTGCTGCCTTATCTCAAGTGCATAGTCAACGAAACACAACCTGCAGAAGTATTTGTATGCACAAACCACCATGCCTCTAAAATTTTACCTTCTTGGTTACACTAAATGAGTGTTACGAGCTCGCATATAAAGCAGCATGTACCTCAAAGGCAAGACTCTCTGAATTTACGGCTTACAATAAAATTACAAGACGTGAAAGAAATTGATTGAAAACTAAAGCGCGAGTTTGCTGGAAAGTTTTCCCACTTCCGATTTTCGATTTATTCATAAATTCTAACCGGATGGCCAAAACCATTGGCTCATAGCAACTAAACCCCATTGGATTTCATGTAGGTATGTAGAGAGGTTAGTTTACTTCCAAAAAATCGGAATTCACCCTAAAAGAATTTAACAGTTAACAGGAAATGGGAGTTGAAATAAATCAGCAATACTTAGCTCTTTGTTTTTTTTTCGGGGATGAAAGCTTTGTATTTTGCTTTTATATATTGGGGTGTAAAGTAGTTCATGCGGATGAATCGGGCAAATTAAATATGTCTTACAGTAGATTTATGGAATATAATGAAGAAATCCCAAACGCAACATTTAACACGCACATTTTGGATAACGCAATTTTGTATTCGTAATGTAGCTGAGCAGCGTTTCTTTGGATTAGAATAATTGAAAAGTAAAATAAAATGTTCTATGTGGTTGAGATGCTTCCATCAACAAGGTGTAGCTGCTTGGTGCAACCACATCGGAAATATTAGCACCTTGTAAAGTTCCCTTTCGTATTCCCACTGAAATTAATATCACCGGATTTGCCCAAAATCCCGTGCTTACTTCCGCAAATAAACTCGACTATCACCTTTTGCGTAAGACCAGCATATACTGTTGAACGTTTCCCTAACCACTCCATTTATTTCACGAGCTTTGGGCATTGACCTTATTAAATTATGCAAAGTGGTTATGTTTTTCCGAGCCAGTAACAAAGTGGTCATAGGAAACAGACGGATGGATTTCTATTAACTTTTCGTGATTTTTATTCCCTTGAAATATCCGTGAGCTTTATAGTTAAGCTTTTTCTTTATGACGATGTCCTTTGTCATACCACATCAGGTGCTCTGAAAGTATCGCTTTTGCGTGGATTGTTAAATTTAAGAATACTGGAGTTTATTTCAACGACCCAAAAACAACGTCGACAAAATTCCTTTTATTAAAAGCTCCTTTGTAAAAAGTCATTAATTAAGACATTTTAGCTTTTACTAACTTTAAATCGGCCAATTATAAATATGAACTAAATGTGGTGTTTTGCTCGTCATCAAAATAATGAGCAGGCGATATGGTAGACTGAATTTCCATTATGTCTTCCTAATATATTTGTTCTCCTGATGGTCCTGTTATCTTTACACCCTTGTTCTCTTATTTAATCTGTTTGTGTTTTTCTTTTCATTGTAGATACTTTGAAAGCACCAACGTCCAATGAGCTAATTAAATATTATTTGTTTTATTAATTGCCTTTTCTCAGGTCGGAGGTATTTATTTCGTTTCCGCTCAAGTTAAATATTTGAGTGTATGAGTAAAATGTAATTTTTGCTTTGCATTTCTCCACTCTCAACATGATCGGCACACAACATTGCACAGGGAGAGACATCCATTAATTTTAATAAGATTGGTTCACTTCAAAGCCCTGCAAGCTCCATAGCTCAGCCTCCCTTTGTGGTGATGGCCTTTATCATATCAAAGCTGGCCACACCAACTTCCTTTTGTTCCTTACAATATATTATGTTAAATTTGGTTTACTTAGTCCAGGATAATGTTTGCATTTGATCTAAAGAACATCAAAACAGATTTGAACTTAAGACTTTCAGTACCTAAAAAAACGAATGTCTACGAGGACAATTAGGCGATATTCCTTAAAACATTACAAAAATTCCAATAAAAATTATCTAGCATATAGAAAGCACTAGCGTCCAGAATACATTTATTTATTGCCGGCAGATTCAAAACCTTGAAAAATAAAACAACTAATTCATGGGATGAGAGTAACATTTAAGCATTATTATTAAAATATGATGGCCAGCACCAACACTGAAACTTGCTTCAAATCAATTCTGAAGCGTAATGAAGAGCCTCTAAAACGCTTTAGAGCTTTGAGCCAAGCATTTGGAGAGCATAAAATGGCGAATTTCATTACTTTGACCCCAGCAGATTGTGTTATCGGAATTGTGAATGGAGTATTGGTAATCTTGAAGCCTTTCAATATTGATCGTTGCTCTAAATGTCTTCCTGAATAATGAAAAGCTTAAACTGTTACGCTTTTACTTCAAACCCCTTTCTTCTAAATTAGACAGAACTTTCGCACTTTATGCCGTAATTTAAAACTGAAATTTGCATTTCAATGTTCAATATTTGCATTCGGATTTAATTTATTGGCACTCCCAGTTATATTTTGGCGCTATGAAGGCTTCGTTCGTTTATGTGCCTATATATTTTTAATGTCACTAAATTCACCTGAACTCTGTAATCGAATGAGTAGGAACTCATCTTAAGAGAGCTGTTATGAAAACAAAAGAATCGGTCGATTTTGGCACAAAGGCATTAGTCCAAGAGAACAGTGTTAGATATGTTCCCCCAAAAAAAACAGGCCTCTAGTAATGTTTTCTCAAAGATAGTGGATTTGAGATCGTGCGAAGTGGGCTATGCTGAAAAACATGGACCAGCTGGATATCCGAAGCTTTAAAGAGAAAAGGATTCTTATAGCGGAATTGATTGCATTTATGATAAAAGAGATAATATCTCGACTATTTCACGGGTAAAACCCCCATATAATGGGTGGGCATATTTTAAACCAAGTGTTAAATACTGACAGTTTAAATTTCACGGTTTGGAAATTACAGATGTCTGGATCGTAACTTTGTTTTAATGGCCAGGAAAGACTGAACTGAGAACTTTCTAGTGGAAATATCACATTATCCTGTAGCAATCGATCTGTCTTCAGTTGAGTCTGAAATAGTTTCAACTTAATTTACTTCTGTTAGTTCAAATGAACTAGAACCAACTTTTCTTCAATATCTACCTCACGCCTTTTCCATTTGGATTGAGTGTAGTTTTTGTGCCAGGAACTGAACAGATTTTTTCTGTGAAATGCCAAAATTTAAAAGCGAATTAACGCGTCTTTCCGCTTAATATTTTTATATTTTTTTATGGGGTAAGTCTCCGAATAATTATTTCCCATTTTTTTATGATTCCAATTCAGTCCATTAAGTTTTCCCTTCAAATCAGAACTGATTTTCCGTCCGAATATAAAAAAGAGCTGGCATACAAATTAGAAGTAATAATATAAAATGCAGTTGTGTTTTTCTCGGTTTTATTTTGTAAATCGATCTAAAATTAACTTAATGCTATTCGAATAGCAATTTGGACAATGTGTTTTCGCATAAATGTTTAGCAACCTTTTGAAAGGTTATTTTTTATTACTTTTACATTAGTTACAAAGCTATTAATTGACCATTAAACAATGCCTATAATGGATTTTATCGGTGGTATCATTGATTGAAACAATAATTATATGGCTCATACAGCGTAATAGTTTGTAATCTGTGATCGATCTGGATACCGCCCATGCCACTTGGCTCATTGACAACTCGTTTATCCAATATTAGGAAAGTGATATATTTTCCATTAATATTCGAGGACGAAAGTTGTATTTAATGCCTCCTCCATCCCAAACGAAACGGTTATTAATGTAACCAACGGCTTTAGCTACGTGTGTATTTAGTTTGCGTTAATAAGGCTGATCCGAGTATATTTCGGCGGAAAAGTTTATTCGATTATTTCAGTGTGTAACACTTTTACAACATA